GTGACCTCCCTCCACATGTTCACTTTGTGAAAGACTGTTCGCTCCGCTCACTATTTTTACAGCTCCGCCTGAAGGTATTGAGCTACGGTCGTGACCTCCCTACGCTGTTTGCTTTGCAAAAAGGATTGTTCGCTGCGCTCACTATTTTTACAGCTCCGCCTGAAGGCGTTGAGCTACGGTCGTGCCTCCCTGCGCTGTTCACTTCGTGAAAGATCGTTCGCTGCGCTCACTATTCTCAACGCTCCGCCTGAAGGCATTGAGCTCCGGTCGTGGCCTCCCTATGCATATTTGCTTCGCAAAAATCGTTCGCTGCGCTCATAATTCCCTAAGCTGTTCACTTCGTGAAAGATTGTTTGCTGCGCTCAATATTTCTTGAAGCTCTGCCTGACGGCATTGGGCTCCGGTCGTGGCCTCCCAACGCATATTCGCTTCGCAAAAGATTGTTCGCTGCGCTCACTATTTTTACAGCGCCGCCTGAAGGCATTGAGCTCCGGTCGTGCCTCCCAACGCATATTCGCTTCGCAAAAGATTGTTCGCTGCGCTCACTATTTTTACAGCGCCGCCTGAAGGCATTGAGCTCCGGTCGTGCCTCCCTACGCATATTTGCTTCGCAAAAATCGTTCGCTGCGCTCACTTTTCTCAACGCTCCGCCTGAAGGCATTGAGCTCCGGTCGTGCCTCCCTACGCTCGCGACCTCCCCACGCTGACGCTCACGCTCGTGCCTCCATACACTCGTGACTGCGCCCAAAAAAATAAACGTACCCATCCAATTCAGCAGTCTCAATAAAACAGGTCCCGTCCTCATGAGCACAGGAAACAATGATAGCATCGACCGACAACTTTTCATTCTTTTCAACACGAATCAAATCACCCTTGACCAAATCCTGAGCTTTAACTTGAACAACGGAACCATCACGAATGACAGTTTTAATTTGGGAGTTTGCAGCAGAATCAGATCTGTATCGAGCATAGTCTTCGATAATGTCTTTGAGGGCAGCGAAAAAGAGGACAGTGAGGAGAGGAGTGATTTGAGAGAGTGGAGAGAGGGCGGCAGAGGGATAGATTGTGGAGAGAGCACCCAAAAGGAAGTAGATGTTATAGAAGCGGTGAAACTGGAGTACGTCGGAATGGCAGCATTCGTTGTTCGATTTGTTGAAGTTGAACAGATGGATGAATGGTGTGTTGATGTGGCAGTGAGAGTATATATTTTTCAGAAGGAGAGGAGGGAGATGGAGGCAATTCAGTGAGTGTTACAAATCGAGATGGCAGGGATCAAAGCACAAACGACGCACCTGAGAGTACAGAAACAGCGGAATGAAGGAAGCGATAGTGTACTTTGTAGTTCTGATGTAGTTCTGCTTTCCGTGGCTGAACTGTGCCGGGCTCAGCGGGGACAGGACCTCCCAGGCCACGGGTTCATCCTGGTTCCGTCTGAATCCCTTCCCCTTTTGAAAGCGCAGTTTCTTCTTCTCTTTCTTTTGCGGTGGCGGCTGCTGTGGCTGCTGTGGCTGTTCAATGTCTGCCATTTCGATGGTTTCGATGGGTTCGACTGGCTCAACTGATTCGGTGTTTGGCGGATTCGGCGATTCGAGGCGCACAAACGACGGTCTCGACTGGGCGGCGGCGGCAGGAAAGAAGGCGGCGGCGGCGGTGGCGGTCGGGCGGGCGAGTGGCGGTAGTGTCGTCCGCTTTTGCACAAAAGTTGTTGGTTGGGTTTGTGTCAACAAAGTGAAATAACCAACGAAACGCCTTATTTACTCACTCGCGATGAAGAACTCGAAAGGACGGAACTCGTCTTTTCTTCTAGTGGCCAGTGTGGGTGGTGCTCTGCCATTCAAACAGACCAAAATGTTCGTCGCGGTCCGGTACACTATCGAATCCTGACAATTCAATAATGTTGGTTTACTGCTCTCTGCCAATTCATTCAAAACAAATGCAAAATGAATACCTTGAGTATCAGCTGAATTGAATGATCCCAAACACACGACAAATTGGGCTGTCCTCTGCAAATCCGATTTTTTCAGAAGGTTCTGTTGAACTTGATTGGAAGTGCTCTCAATTTTCCCCCTTCTCCTTTCCTTAAGTTTAAATCAACTAGAAGTTAACAATTATAAAAATCTTGTAAGTTTTGGGTCAAATGAACCCCGCGAGAACAAAAGGCTTGATGGCTGCACTCATGGGGGACCTCTTCACTGTACTACCACTAATAGTTATGTATCCAATGAACTCTTGAAAGTTTACGAACGGCGGACCCCAAAGAGCTTGTCTCATGTCAAAAATTGATCGCGAATTATGCTGACACGGAGCCCAGTTGCGAATATGATTCATGAGGAATTTCTAATGACATGATCCGTTTATTTAGCCCTTCACTTCCTCAACCTAACCTTCTGTAATTATGAGCTACCGTTTTTGGAAACAATTGATTGAAAGCCTTCGCATTTGGAGGAATCCATCAAACTCAGCAAATAAGTTGGCATTTAGAAGAGTAAATCAATGAGCAATAATATTATTAGCGACTGGGGCTAATACACGATACTCTACTGCAGGTGCCCCTTGGTCTAGTAGTATGATTCCTGCTTCGGGTGCAGGAGGTCGCGGGTTCAATTCCCGCAGGGGCCCTGCTCTGTCGTTATTATACGTTTTGAGGACGGATGGACAGTGTGATAGGATCAGCCAGGATTGCGAAGCGAAGATGCTGGGATGCGAGAAAGTGTCGGCGCCGAAAACATGTTTAACAAAGGGAGAGAAGCTGGCAGGCAGGTCCATTGCAGTTGGTGGGAACGTTGCTTCTGCATTTAAACTTGCATTCTAAAAAACGATTTAAGATGTAAGTCATGAATTCTTACGTGCTGCCGTGAAAGGAAGCGAATGCGGGAAGAAAACGCGTTTTAGATGTGGTTAGGCATGGTGGAATATGAATATCATGATAGATTGGGTTGGGTTTTCTCTCTTCACAGTATTCCAACAGCGCCTGCTGCTCTGGGCCCCCTCGAAAAACGTGGAGTCACAGGGGATTGAACCCTGGGCCTCATGCATGCGAAGCAGGCGCTCTACCACTGAGCTATAACCCCATGATGCTTTGAATGTAAAAACAAATTCATATTTCTTAATTGTTTAGGTCTATTTTGATGAGAATTTCAGTCGATATTTAAGAATGTTGCTTATAACGTTCAAAAGCGTTCCAAGGCGCGTTGAGTGGATTAATGATCTTGTGCGTCGTCTCAACAAACAACAATGCACGCAACAATGATTGCGACTAATTGCATACATTTCTCGCAATATAACCTCTGGAACATGTCAGAGTGGCCAAATTCTTGTACTAAACTGTTATACCTTGCCTACTGTGCTTTTCACTTCAATATTCCTCGCAAATCATTGAGGTGCTCTCACATAATAACAGTTTTGAAACAGTCATCAAAACCAAAGAAACCAGCAATATTATTTACAATTATACAACATAATAAACTTATTTATTGATATTAAGAATCTTCTCTGATTCTCCGTACTTGGCCTTGTTGTAGGCCTCGTAGTCCTCGGTAGTATATCCAGAGCTGTTGTCATCGAAGGAATCCTTGGAAGTATAATCAGAAGAGTAGTATTTCTCTGCATTGCTGTATTGTCAGCTTGGTTGTAACTATCCTTGTATTCCTCCTTTTTTTTATATGAGACTTATTCTCATTATGATCAGAGTATCCTTCACGATGTAGTTCTGCTCATCATGGCTCAAATAAGAAACGCAATCAACGTAAGAAACCCAGAATTGCATATAAAGTAATTTTTATTATTCAATTAAAATAGTAGTAACGATAAGTTTCATGAACTCCATTCTCAGTGGTGGTTCTCCTTGTAGTTATCTCTGTCTGTCTCTGCATACTTGTCGTTGTTGTGGTAGCTCTTGCCCTCGTGCTCGTCGTATTTGTCTTTGGCGTCGTATCCGTAGTCGTTGTACTTGTCGTCTCCATAAGAATCCTTGGAAGTATAGTCAGAGGAGTAGTCGGCGGCGTAGTATTTATCAGAGTCGTAGTACTTGTCAGCATGTTCGTAGCTTTCCTTCTCCTTCGAGTAGTACTTTTTGGCTTCGTAGTCATTGTATTCTTCCTCTGCCTTGTATCCATAGTCGCGTTTGTAGTGCTTAACATAATCGTCGTACTTGTCAGCATGTTTGTTGTCGTGGGTGGTCATAACTGTCCTTGTCGTCATTGTAGTATTCCTTGGTTTCGTACTCGTTGTATTCCTCCTTGGCATTGTATCCATAGTCGTTGT